AATTCGGGACACGTGTGTACAATTGGAAAATAATTTGAACAAATAAGACTACTTTCAGCGATTATTTTGGCAAAAGGTTACTTTTGACATGTAGTGAAAGTCAGGTGACTCCAATTGAGTAGGCCATTCTTCATCTTTTTTGAAGCAAAACTAAACGCCCAAGTCGACTTTAATATTGAATTATTATCGAAAGTTGTTGCCTTCTATTCAGAAAACGGTATACATGAACACTACTGTATAGAGTGAGAATGAGTACATGGAGATGTAGGTAGAAAACGTCTCAGAATTATCAGTATTTGAGATTTTTTCTAACCAACCACTATGACGTAGGCCTTTATAACTTCTTCACCCATTAGAATTTGGTTTTGTTAAACAAATTACATGTCCTTGTCTTGTTAAAGAAGTATAGAGCATAAAATATAAGCTCTAGCAGTCCGCGGCTATATCTTCACGGTCACATTTTTATTGTTGATATGATTCTTTTTCATATATGGTTGGCGAAAAATTGAATATCACGACAATTTCAGATTTAAGTGTGAATTCTCCTAATACAAAACAAACTTCGTCATCAATTTGTCCGAATGTCTTTTCAGGAATCCTATATTCAATCAGAATGAAGCAACTTGGAATTTGGTCATATATCGACAGAACAATTGAATTTCATGAATTTTTGAATCATAACGCTCACTATGTGATTTGAAGATACTTACTCCAAAGTCTGGCAAGTACGCAAATTGTTTATCATCTCGTACAAATTCCTGAATCGTACTTTTCACAATCTTTTCAGAGTTCCTCAGTTTTCCGATTCGATATTCCCTGCACATAGCAGGCATTCATGAAAAATCCCCCCGGTGATTCCCCCCCTTCGTAGTCTAACGTCTAACCGTAGCCGTCATCTTGCCTTGACGTAAATCGGGAAACCTATAAAGTGACACCCCCCAACAACTATGATTTAGGGTCGGATCCTCTTCCAGGCTCCTTTCCGATCAAGAGATGCCTACTGTGACGACCAAACGGTTTTTTTTCTGTTGATGGCAACCTCTGTTGCGATATATCTCGAACAGAATTATAACTCATTCGGTTGACTATGTTATATTTTCCTGGTTGAAAACACAGTATACAAGTACCAGGGAATCCAGATCCAAAATTTTATTCACATCCCTTCGTTTTATTCTGGGAAGATTTTTTCAATTTGTCAATCGGAATAATATCGTTAAGAATGATTACATCAGTAACAGTGGATAAAAGTCCATTTCGTATCTTCATTGTCACCACAATAAACCACATTGGGACCATGGACTTCTTACCAGAAATTGAATCAGTACCAGGCCTCTAACATACCGATATCATTAAAAATATGAATCCTCAGAAACAGCTGAAAATAGATTATCTCGATAGATCTCAATTGGAAGAGGTATTAATTTCTTCAGATAAGGTATATTAGGAATCGGAACAGTACCTATCAGAATTTAACTTATATTTGAAATTTCTAGAAAATCTGATTTATTCGTGAGAAACGTAGTGTCGAGAAAATCACAAAAACAAGACAAATGAATTATCCACCTCCTCCATCAACCTGTACCAGACAGTATTTGGATAAGACATATATCTATACAATGAATAAAAGTCATTCTAACAGCTAGCAATTTGTTTCAAATTACTCCTCTGTAATTTTTCAACAATTTTGTGATTAGTCACTCATATCGTTCGTATAAAAAACCAATGGAAAATCATGTCAATCTAAATTATACTCGAGCATTTTTCCTGATTTTTGTAGCAATCAGAGGAGATGAGTTATAGTTAGTTGGGTTACCCTCTATGTTAACGTACTTTAAAAATCAAACCTGGGTAAGCATATAACGGAATAGATCATTCCAAACAACACAAATTTTATGGGTAGGGACTCCATCACGACCAAAGTTTTTTATTTCAAATTCCATATTTATTCGAAGTGTGATACATTATTGAATATTGGAGAGTTGGAAAGATTCACATGGAGTCATAGGTTATTATTTCATAACTTTTTTTTTTCGCAAAATGATACCTCACTCGACCATTATTATGGAATATATCATTTTCTAAAATGATGCCTCTTTCAGCTTCCATTCTAACGAAACATAATTTTTCCAACAGTTCTAAATTTACAATTATATCGGAAGGACCATGGAAATTGCCAGTGAAATTTCTAGATGGTATACATGGAGACCAAAATCCTCTGCACTATCGAGAATTCCAAACTATATATCATAATTTTGTAGATGAATAAACTTCAAGCCACTACAAATTACGAACACTCAGTGTTCACTTATCATTGAGGGAGGAAAAACCTGGTTATCACAAAACTTCATACTTCTTTGATTATTGTGGATTGTGTTGGTTTGCCTTCAACGTAACAACGTATTGTGGTTATGGTACTTGAATTAGATTCTGCTGGTGAGCAAAAAATTACAGAAAAACTAGAGAACGACCAGGTTAATTGTGGATCACCACGTGATTTTATGCATATACATATTCAATGCATAAGTGACCATGTGCTGTACCAAAGTTAATCTGGTATAATAGGACTCTACTCAGTATATATACGCGTATATAGGTCCAGAACCGAATTCGATGACGCATGATTCAGATATCAGACAATTTTTAAAACTATAGTTTTTCACATTCGTAGTCATTTCAATAAGAACCTTGTCATGCCATGAGTATTCAATATGTCTCACCAAATTCTTAATATTCTTCTTCATCAGATATCAAATTTCAGTCAGTCAGTCGTATACGCGGTGTGTCAAATATAAAGGTACTTTACTCTTGAGTGCAATTCACATTTTTTGACACACGTATTCGACTGAAAAGAGGTGATATCTGATTATTGCATCCTAGATTCCAGAACATTCAGAACTTTTAATGAAGAATATTTTTTTCTAAAATGAATAATAAAAAATCTGTTTTCGATAAAATATGGTTCCAATTTGGTCAGACATACTGTGTATATTGGAGAATAATTCATTCCATGAAATGTATCTGTTTGTAATGAAAAGATATATTCAGCTTGTTATGAACCATATACAAAAATAGTATGTGCACGCCGAACTGTCGTTATATTCTATATAGTTATTTGATCTTGCACCTTCTGATCCACACAGCCTTTCAGGTTTTTTCTACACAGTCCGCCCTTGCACGTATACACTCCCTTTTCAATAGGGATCAATGCTGCGGAAATGCACATGGTTCTCTTCAACATCATCGCTTTTTTATTAAATTTGATTGAAGAGAACCGGACGAATGCTACGAATTTAGGTTATGAGTCTAATAGCTTTTCAGCACGCGCATATACAGCCCTGCATAGGGGCATTTGTTTATTCGAACATTGCACCCCATTCTTCGTCGGGTGGGCTATTACTGTTATTAAAAAATTATGATTGTGTATTGGGCGAATAGGTCGAATCTTATTTATGATCCTCGCCACGTGTTTGTTAATGGTCATAGGAAGTATACAGTATCCTAAAAATTCATATTACCATATGAGATGGGTATGGTAACCCGTCGATACCGTAATATGAATTTATGATACCAATATCGTACAATATTTTACCTACTACCAAACACGCTGAATTATTCGATCAAAATTAGTTGACATTCCTTGGATCAACAATTTATTAAGAATAAGTAACAGGCAAGCGTTGCAAGGCATCTACAGTCACTTCCCCAGACAGCACACGACGTCCTGAGGACGTAGATATTACGTCCGATTCGAGTCCGCACGTCCCAGTACCTAATATGGACGTCCTCAGAACGTACCATCCCGTACGCCTTCGGGACGTACAGAACGTACGTTTTTTTCACTCCATAGTCATTATATTTTTCAATGTGATCAAATAGAATGAATCCATAGGTGATTTTTACTGATTAATGTGGAGAAGTTGGATTTATTTTCGCAATGTTGGCACATAATTACCCTGAATAATATGGATATGCCAATTTCGAAGGATTTAAAGATGAATTCATATGCACATTCTATGTCCTGCCCTATATGTGATCAATCAGAACATTCACTCTGATTCATAGCAAATTCCATCATTTGGTGGAATGTTTCTGGACTCAATGTGTATTATGTTTTCTTCTTTTTTGCATGTTCTGAACAGAGGTGCTGGAAGGAAGGATTCTTTTTTATTTTGTAATCAAAATGTGATTTCTTTCAGTATAGATTTCTTTTTCATCTATCTAGGTATAAGAAAAGACGAATCTACGTTCATTGTGTTATTCATGACGATGAAATACCAAACTTGGGCCTAATATGGACGTCCCTGGGACGTTCTATCTTGTAACATCGGACGTCCCCAGTACGTCCTATGGACGTATCACGACCGACACTGGACGTCTTCTACGTCCCAGATGTACGTCCTATGGACCAGGGTGTTCCATTTGAAATAACAAAGATGATGCTACTTTTTGGTAAAAGTGGCAACGCTGCATCACTGAAAATATTTTGAATCGTTAGATCACAAACGCTCATTAGAGTAACCAAATTTTCAGAATAATCCAATGTACCGTTTTCCGTATACGTCTAAGGTACCATCGACCGTGGGCCACTGTATATTTTGCAATTTTATAACTGAGCACGAGAAAATTATTTATCGACCAAAAATATGATTCTGGTACATTTTCAATGAATATACTTGACTGGGAAATATGTGGGACACATGTGAAATGCCTATTCTTACTGATTTTCAATTATTTTTCATCAAAATTCTTGTTTGACTCTTCCCTTATTTATTATTAATAGACTTGACCTAATATTATGTTATCCAGACAAATTCAACTATTTTATTTCACGCATATAATTATTATACAAAGTGAACAACAATTAAATCAGTTATTCACGACGATTCTGCAATCGTAGTGTCTACTGATACTGAGTTAAAGATATTATCTTTCTGCTGGAAACACATTTATTCGTTCAATCTCTTGGAGCGCACGAACGGGAATCCCTGTAATGTGTAAAAGCTATTAACCTATGTCGTTTGTGTTGAAAAGTAACCTCCATTTTATTCGACCAGTTTATTCGATCTGAACATAAACAACAGCGCAAAGGAAGCAATACCGATTGTGATTCCTAGTAAAGTATTTGTAATACTGGTTGGATCAGAATATACGTTCTCTGCGATCCAACCGTTATATTGGTTCATCCTGGTGAAAACAGATGGCAAACCCAAGCTGCAGCAGCAATGGCCCCAAGACACCACGCCTATTTGGATGCCGTTTACTAATAACGGCCCCCCCGAATCTCCCAAACAGCTGCCATTTGCAGGACCTTCTCCTCCTGATGCGCAAACATGACTCTGGATTATCTAAAAAAAATGGAATCAACTATTGGCCACAGTTGTCTCGAGGTCTCACTTCCTGATATATCATTGATTGTTTCATCTTCTTGATGCAAGCTTCGTTCGATATTACTTCTACAGTGACGCTGTTGAGCGTTTCGGAAACTGCTCCTTCATCTGTTATGCCCCATCCCAGAATACTTCCATTTTCTCCAGAATACGTGTTCGTTTCAACTGGTATAGGAACAACGTTGACATATTCGTTTAAAATTGCGCTTCTAGGCAGTCTGACTAGGGCTATGTCATTCACCAAAGACCTTTCATTGTATTCGGCGTGCTTTACGTATGATGTCGATCGAAATCTTTGAATTGATTTTGATTTCATATTTGTGAACTTATGTACTCCTAGATAGATGTCAATGTATCTGGGATTGCTGCAAAACGATCGTCACTTGATTAGTGGTTTAAGACTTACCTACCTCAATGGTTTGACCCCTCTTAGCCCGATGTGATGTGACTCATTGGGAATATTCGTTTAAAGAATAATTTGAAGAGTGTTTCAAAATTCAGAATCAACATTTATGGGGCTCATTTTCTAGATCAGAATAAGATTTTTTTCATATAAATATGATGTGGCCGCAAATCCTTCGATACTCTACAAAGCGTCTTAGCTTTAGAGATATTCAGATTGAATTCACATCATACAGTAAGTGACTTTTTGAAGCACGAATTATGAAGCATTCCAAGAAAGACTATTTTTTTTACAGAATAGTGTACAATTTTACTCTAGAATGTGATTAAAATTTGTTCTCAATTTTTTTCATCTAGTTTTACTAATGGGGGTGTGTGTGGTTATGCATTTAGGTCACTATGCCATTATTGAATGATATTATCAACATAGGGTGATGAAAAAAGTTCTCCTTTTTTTGTGGAACTTTGAAGAACAAATTTTTTTTTTACCTTTCGAGGCGTACGAAAGGAAATCCCTATAATGTATAAAGAACATCTTGCGTTCCTAGGAAGGATATGGAGCAAAGATAGGTATTGGAAGGTGTTTGGAACTCCTGGAGATTATGAGTTCTTGGAAATACTTCCTTTGGCGAAATATTACAAAGCTTTGCCGTTCTACGGACGAACGAGTTCTAGTGGAGAGTTGTTCAACATATTTAGAGATTGACGACAAAAGGATGTTCTGACTGGGCTGGTCAAGTACGTCCAGCTGGATAGCAGAAATTTCTGAAGATCAAATTATATTGGGCTTCTTAAGACACAATGCTACTTTGCAAATGGAACATATGCCCATTTGGAGCGGAGTACTTAGGCTCTGGATGAACAGAAAAAAACATCTTCTTGAGGAACTTATCATTGTCAACATGTTCCTCTTTGGAGTATCTGATTTCATGAGAAATATCATTTTGAAGTAATTCATTCTCCCAGTTGACTTTTGGCCTCCTTTTTCCCTGTGAGGAATATTGATGAGACCTCTAGCGACAGCGAAATTTCTCACCATCTGTGAGTTGATATAATAAATGAATCACGAATGCATTCACCACTGTCGTTTCCAACATTAGAAAAAAATACGATGCCACCACTTTCTCGACTTTTTCACTTTTTTTATCAGCAAATACCTACATAGAGAGAGTTTTCCGGTGACCTGGAAAATAAGTCTATAAAATCGGGATACTGAATTTCGAAACACCCTATCATATAATACTGTCCCCATAATTTGTTGGAATATTTGCATATGCGACATCTTTTTTATCAATAGGCGAATGGACTAAATTTATTCTAATTTCCTATAAATAGAATCATCACTCAAACACCTTCATGTTTCAGGAATTTTTCAGAATTTTTTGGTCGATTTTTGGGTGTTAAAATCATTCATAATGCCACGGTAATCTTCAAACGGCTGGCAATTTACTGTCAGTGAAAATTGACGCCACGATTTCGTAAGTACTTATGTTACACCCTGGTATGTCATGTTGCAGTCATTACATCTCTTGAATCCCTGATTCATATTTAGAATAGATTTCGTATTTATGAAGAAATGAAAAATAACTTTTTCCTCCTACCCCTATAGAAAGTACACACTTTCCTCCCTCAAATCAGAGAGGAAAGTCATACTTTTCCTCCCCCTCATTTCAAGTAAGTTGTAGACGATGAAACTTGTGAATTCATTATATTCATATTGTTTCCATAATTTCTAGAACATCCTGTATATCCTGTTTTTTGGTAAAAATCAAACATTAATGTTACTTCAACGTAGTTCTTCAATACAAATTTCAACTTCAGGAATCTTAGATATACGTTTTTTGAGTTCAGAATAAGAAAAGCATAGTATGCTGTGGCTCACTGACAGTAAACACGGCGATTGACTTTTAAGGTGCAAAGTCGCTACATTCATTAAACTTAGTTGAATTTTTGAAAAATGGAGAGCAATTCAAGTGATTTTGAATTTCCAAATACACCACCTAATATTAAGGAACAAGCCAACATAGGTCGCGTGCACAATGACCGACCTTGGAGGCAAAATATTGAAACACAACCTCATTCTTCTGTGAATTATTGAAACACAACCTCACTTTTTTATTTGGTTATAGAGGAATCAAAAGGTTGAAATAGTTTTTCACAATATTTTGGCATACGAATCGTGTTTCTTGCGTTATTCATTGATTCAAGCATGCCTTCGCATTGTGCTGTTGTACAATGCACAAAAAATGCAGCAAGAGACTAGGGAATATGATTTTTCAGGTAAATAGTAATCTCACATAGTTAGCATTATGAAATGTTATCATTCCTTATTGAAATTCCTTCTGCCTTCTGCCACTTCTGCAATACAAGCTAATGCTGCTAATAGATTGAAAATATCTACAACACACACGATCGTCAGCATGTCAGACCAGTCCTACCGATTGATTGCATGAATCCAATCTTCTTGCATTATTCTAGAAATTTCAGGTATATTTCTATTAGCTGATCCTATTGCAGAAGGAATTCCGATGAGAAATCAGAGAAACAACCAAATTTCAAAAATGAAAACTATGTGAGTGACTATAGTAGTTACTTACTTTTGAATCATAATGTACCATCCGGATTCCTTCATCTTCCGCTGCAGTTTTTGTGCATTTTACAACAGCACAATGTGATGGCATTAGCGAATTGATGAATAGCGGAAAAATACGATTCATATGCCAAAATAATTGTGGAAAACTATTTCGATCACTTGTAAACAAATATGTTTTGCCTCCAGGGTCGGTCATCTGACAGTTCTTGCACGCGACCTATAGCGTCATTAACCTTACTACCACAAAAATCTAAAGACAGGTATGAAAAACAATATGCACAATATAAGCAATGGGCTGAAGACAACAAGATACATAAATATTCAGAGAATGTTTTACTGGCATATTTTTCACAACAAGGAAAATCATTAAAAGGTTCAACACTTTGGTCTAAATATATTCAATGCTACGCACAATGATACAAATGAAGGACAATGTCGATATTGAATATCCAAAGTTGATTGCATTTCTAAAACGTCAAAATGCCGGATACAAACCAAATAAAGCTAAAACTTTTACAAGAGAAGAAATAAATACATTCCTAATGAAAGCCCCGGTGATGTTTTTTTAATAATGAAGGTAAGAAATGAAATCCATGCAAATAATTTAATTTTTGATATAAAATATCCATAGGTAGTCCTTGTTATTGGAATTTCTGGAGCATGTCGATGTGATGAGCTTTTTAAAATGACTATGGATGATACTGAAGACAAAGACAATCTATTAGTCATAAATATCCCCACTTCAAAAACGTATAAACAACGAACTTTCGTTATCAATACTACAACAGGTAACGGCTCAAATTTTGTTCAAATCGTTAAAACGTCCTAAAACTGAGCATAAACGATTGTTGGTATGCTTTAGAGCAGACAAATGTATGAATCAAGTGGTTGGCAAGAATAGTATATCCAAAATACCACAAAAAATTGCACAATATCTCAATCTTCCAAATGCCGAACATTACACAGGGCACAGTTTCAGAATAACTTTAGCAACTCTGTTAGTTAACGCTGGTGGGGATATTTCAGCTCTAAAACAGCATGGCGGTTGGAAATCAACCAATATCGCAGAAGGTTATGTAGAACAATCTCACACAAAAAAATAAAAATTTCTGACCAAATTATGGGAAATAATGTAGAACCTGAACTTGATCAAAATCAGCCAAGCACTTCTAGAAGTTACCACCATTACAATGTGCTAAGCGAAAATATTTCAAATACTAAAGCTCCTGTTCAAACTCTATCTTCTTCCAATGGTGTTCATATAAGTACTGCTCAAAACTGCACATTCAATATTAACATAAATAATTCTAAAATATAGTTAAACAATACTATGTACTTAATTGTATAGCATAAATTGATGAATTTGTTTAATAAATAATTCTTGTGTGTTTGTGTCGTGAATAAATTTTTAAAAAAAGGTGGGTAGGAGGAAAAATCATATGTATCACATGGGAGTAAAGTGCCTTTTCCTCCCTTGGATGTTTACTGCCAAACTACATCCTGCGGGAGGAAAAGTGGCACTTTCCTCCCTAGTAATACAAATAGCTATTACCTTCCAACGCAATGAGCTGCGGTGAGTATCCATCTTGGGTTTATGAGGGTACCACCGCATCTGCCTTCACCGTCTATCTCGTAGATGACCAGGAATGCCATAAAAGGGTAAGGATGAGGCGACAAGTCAGCGCCCCCTATCATACTGGGCTTTATCCTGATCAGTTTCGGGCTCAAATTGAGAAAGAATTCTATAGGGACATTGTCTCCCAAACCGATTTCCTAAAATGAGTTGTATTTTGCAAAATTGTATCGAGAATCCAAGATGAAATTTCTAACTTACGAAATGTCGATTGTCATTCGTTTTGTCCGACTATCAAGCCAAATGAAATAATTTGAATGTTATGTTGTAGCATCAAATAAACTGCTCCATATTTGAAATGACAGAACAAAAATGTCGTTATAAATATGTGAATTCATCAATTTTGACTCAGTTTTAGCCATCGTTTCGAAACTTTGACCTAATACAAATCGTGATAGATTTCGAACAGTTGTAGATCGCTTCGTTAGGTTTTGTTCGGGTGAAGAGTAAAGCATAATTTGATTAACCATCTGAGGCAATCCATCTTACTTTATCAAGACTCCTTCATCCATAGAACGGCTAGGCTCTGGAATTCATTGCCTGTGGAAGTATTCCCAACAACATATAATCTCCAAAAATTCAAAAAAAATTCCAATACCTACCTCCTGTCCCTATCCTCCCTAGGAACGCACGATGTTCTTTGAACATTATAGGGATTCCCTTTCGTGCGCTCCAATCGATAAAAAAAAAAAAAAAAAAAAATAGGACAGGGCAAAATCCATACAGTCTACTCCACCAAAACTATACATTAATTTAAGCAATTTATAGGGACATGTTTCGAAGCTCCAAAACTCCATCATCAGCAGTAAGTTACATGGAAACAAAATTGAAAATTACTGATAGATTATTGAAATTATTAAAATGAAACCGCAAAATGCGGATCACCTTTGTTAATCATCAAACTGAAATCCAATGGAGACATTTTGTTGAACATGCTGGTGGCTTGCCAAGCTTGTACTGTATGTACTGTAACTCAATGCTGATGATGAAGCATTGAATATAGTTTGATAGTTTTGGTGGAGTAGACCGTATAGTATGAATATCGCCCTGTCCCATGATTTGATTCTTCCGAAGTATTCATGTAAAATCCACACAATGTCCTGATCGAACTTGATATTTCAAAACTGAAATCATGTGAGTAATTGGCAACTTTGTGCTAAGGTATTCAAATAGACTCATTTTGTTCCGAATGACAATTTCTCAGGTTTTCATTTACTTCCCACGCGTATGATTTGCAGCATTCGCCTTGGAGAATGACATCATTCCCTGCTCGTTGAACAATATACAGTGCTTTTCTTCGGTGAGTTCTTTCCCTTCATTTTTTGAACGGGTCAGCTGAAAAAATTACTTGAGATAATGGAATTGATGCATGGATATACTATGTTTTGAAGCAAAATTGACTGATGGAAATTTTGAGATGTCGATTGGGCGTCATCTGGGGAAGAATAGGTAAATGGTAAGGAAGTCTTGTGATATATCTTTTTGCAGCTCCTGACGAATACTTCTCAACCAGAGAATATCAACTTAATATCTTCATCTACTACAAAATGGCGGAACAATCAATATTTGCCTGAATAAAAATACCACATTACTCCAGACTAGTTAGAAATATCGACATAACTGGGTTTTAAAGTGTTCGGAGTAAGATATCAGATAGGCTGTTCTTATGTCAAGAAGTTCAAGGCAACCATTGCGAACATCTTCTGTACTGAACTCAGCTTATTTCCTCAAATTATGAAATAAAAGTCGATGTATTCAGACAATTATTGAATGTTTCGCCCTTATGTAGTATAGGTGAAGATATTGACTTCATGTTCTAGGTTTGTGAGGTATTCTTCAGAAGCTTCAAAAGGATGTATCAGAAGTCCTCCTGCAGTACCCGTCTTGAATTTACATCGATCAATTTTTCTCCAAAATATAAATTATTCATGCATCAATTCCACAGCCTTAAGTTTCGATTTTTTCAGTCGACCCGTTCAAAAAATAAAAGGAGGGACATTAAAGTATACTATTTTTCTTAGGCATGGAACATTCTCTTTTTATCTTATTTTGATAACTGCGATTAGTTTCTATGAAGAAATATATACAGAGTTTCTGATAACTAGTAGCTTGTATCATACAAAAAAGTAAAAACTATTGTTCGACGTTGGTGAGATGCGCATAGTTTTGGAATGAAATCGATTCGAACATAGTGAATCATGCATGATATTGAAATGCTATTTTCGGCATGCTTCTATATATAATTCAAGTGATGGTATCAGCATCAGAATGAACCACAAAATCCAATGATTGCCCTTTTTTATATTTCTTCCGATTTTTTTGGCGTGTTATCTCATGTCCGAATTATGATTTCAGTCTATAACCGAGCATTCCATCGAAGTCGAACGAGAATACCACCTTTTCATTGAATAAATAAACAATGTTTGAACCCTTTGCTGAAATCCAGTATACCAAGCCAGCCCTGCTTGATATATTATTGAATCAAAATTTCAAATTTCGTTAACATTATTGGCCCTAAATGGCCAATTTTCGAACCATGTTTAATCAAACTTTCCTTTTTTCTCTCTGCTAGTGAAAGCCACTGGTGAAAGTTGACAGTTCAATCAAGGGACACTCAGTCACTCAATATATATATTTTTGTAGCACAAAAACACTAATTTCGAAAAATCTGATTATGAAAAAGAGGTGTTCCATGCATTTGAAAAAATGAATTTACAGATTGTCAAACTCCCAGGGATCACCCTGTAAAATTTCTGATGAAAGACGTAGAAGCGGCCATCCTCGATGGATTGCCCTGTATACACACAACAACACAGAAAATCCGATGCACTCCAGATTTCAAAATTCAATCATTGGCAATAGTTTCGTATACACAGAGATTATATACAACAGTTTTATGTAAGGAAAATGGCAGATTTATATAATATGAATCAATAGACACAGAAGTTGAGGAAATTGATTATCAAAATTTGTGTACGGTGGATTTGCTTCGGATAACACGGAAAGTTGATGAACGATTTGATTCCTGTAAACAAATATCGGTTTACTCGAGTAAAGGTACACTCGTCTTCAGTGATCAAGTCGCACATGGACGGTGTCAGCTCCCTTGATAACCGCTGCAATAAGAGCGCTCATATCGTCCAACCGCGACATATTCACTGAAGACGAGTGTACATAAGCAAAGTGATACAAAAAATTGCTAGGAGCACTTGTTGATTCGCCCCACTCCGTCAGGGGTATCCTGCAACATCAAAGTCGGCATAGTTTTTTTGTGTTCCTCTATTGGCTCTATCCCTTACCTACAAATTACGTTATAGTATAAGTACTATTGTTCAACGAGCACGAAATGATAGTGATTTCTCACCAGAATGAAGTTTGAAGCATGAGCCATACGAGATACGAGTGGGAAATGACTATTCCGTTTGAGTAATACACTATACTTTCTCACTAGTAATACCAGTCAGACGACCGCGACAAGCCAGTCAGCACCTCCCTCAGTCGTTAACCTTGAAAAATATTGAACAACACTCTACCAAAACTCGTTCGTCTGAATAACGGCGAAGCTTTGGAATTATTTACCATCGGAAGTATTCCCAAGAACTTCTTTCCTTCGAAAGTTCAAAAAAGAATCCAAAACCTACCTCCTCTTCCTATCCTCCCTAGGTACGCACGATGTTCCGTGAACATTATAGGAATTTCCTTTCGTGCGCTCCAAAAGATGAAAACAAAACAGATAGCAACAAATGTTTTATTTCTATGGCTTGAATCCATCTGATTTTCTCTTGAGTATAATGCTAATGAAATTTTGACATTGTCATATCAGATGCGGAATTGGAATTGAAGACATACAAAGTACCTCATTGATTCATGGAACACAGTGAAACAAGAGCAATTTTGTGTTATAGCCATCGTCCACCAATATTAGAATATTGGTGGACGATGTTATAGCCGGAGAAAAACATTTTGTTTTGTGAAGACATAGAAATCACGTTTTTTTCTACACAATGTAGCGCCACTGTGCCGTTTTGGGCAGAATCTAATGCGGAATAGTGAGTTTTTCTAGTCGGCAGGAATGAAACCGGCAGGACCCTTTAGAAAATTTTTGAATCGTCTGAAGGTTGAAGGTGAAAAAATCGGCCCAAGCTCTATTATGTTAATTATCTCAACAGCAAACATTACCTGCAATTCGGCTTCTAGCAGAACGAAAGCACATATCACGAAAAGAATCTTCATGTTTTCTTTGGATGTGTATCTTAGGTGACTATACAGGTAACTACTACAAAACTAAACATATTCTGAAAGCATATAAATATATTATATAGTAGTTACTCACCTCCTAAAATCAATATAATCTATCTACATTTTTTATCTTTATCACTATATAGATACACGATGATATGTTATGTTGAGGTATTTTGTAATACTGTATTTCCAGTTTTCAAGGATTTCATTGAAGCTGTACAATTATTTTTATATTATGAAAAACTATCAAATTTCTACTACTTTGCTGCTTAGTAAAACAAATAACTATTTCCTGTTTTTTCCAACATGATATGGCATGGTCTAATTTACATAATATGGAAGAATTGTATATACATATATAACCAGAGTTTTAATGTTAATGCCAATATGGATATAATTCAGGTTTGTGAAAAAGGTCCACGATTGGTATTATTTTTCGCAGTTTACAGTTTCCATAATTTTTCCATTATGTAAATTGGACCATATGTTAGAGCCGGCTCTGTCTCCCTTAACTTCTTCCTTCAATCATATATGTTTTCCTTAAGATCATTTCGCCTATCTCTCTATCATCAATGATGATGTTTTTTTTTGCATTGAATAATTGAATAACTTCAATTTAACTAGTTTTATCTTCAATACTGTTTTCTTTGATTCTACTCCTTTTTTTATGTATGGTTTTCATTCTGACTTCGAAATTGTCAGAACTGTCATGTCAAATGTCAAAGTCAAATCAACATTTAAAAGTATGCCTTTCCTTTTGATGGCTTGCCTCGAATGGTGAAGTTCTTTGAGTATATGTCAATTCCAATGAACTGGGAACCTATGAGTAGAAGCACACTTTTTCGGTTGACTGTATTTTCGTTCCGATCGAACAAGAACAGAACAAGATTTCCTGAAATAATATTGAAATAATAAATTGGGAAACGCCCTTCTGATAGTATGCTGAACAACGATATAATCTATTTTTGTTTCCAGATGTGAAATACTCAACTTGGGTGTAATGCACATGAATCGTATATTTTTATTACTATACTACCACTATCTGATTATTGTGCAAACATATTGCAAAAATTATTGGAATAGGTGCGATTTCATTGCACAAGGTGTTTTTGGGTGTCACAAATCAACGAAATTATATTATAGTTTTGATATTTCATCAGCCATGGAAAACATGGATTAATTCATCATAAACAGTATATCATGCATATATACGGGCTGACTGAATGAAAACGTCCCAAGCCCTCGCACCACTTTTAACGATCCGATTTTGAACAACAAAGTAGTAAAAAATTAAATTTTTTGATGTACAGGGTGGCCAACTAAGAATCCAGAGTTCCATACCTCTGTTGTCTCGAGAGATACAAAAAAAAAGTTTTGCATTCAAATTAAAGTGATAACCGAGCTTCACATTTCAAAATTTCTTCGAAATACACAGGGTGTTCCGTAAGGTCACAGCACATCAAAGCTATGTTTTTTTCATTGGAACACCCTATATTTTATTTCATTTTTGAATTCTCCCTGAAGATCTGGTTTCGACGACGTATCATACTTAGGGTCTAGCAGTGAAAGTTACTGACATATAGGCTGTGCAAAATCGAGATTTTCCAAGTTCAGGATTTTTTCTGTCGAAACTGTTCATTATTCGTCAAAACGGTTTACATGTCCCTATCTCAACTTTTCACTAACTATCAATTGGTGTTCAATTGACATTTAATTGAAATAATTTATAAATTAAGACTTTTTGACCACCTTGTATCAATTTCAATTGAACACCAATTGATAGTGAGTGAAAAGTTGAGATTGGGACATGTAAACCGTTTTGAAAAATAATGAACAGTTTCGACAGAAAAAAATTCTGAACTTGGGAAATCTCGATTTTGCACACCCTATATGTCAGTAACTTTCACTGCTAGACCCTAAGTATGATGGGTCGTTGAAATCAGATCTTCAGGGAGAATTCAAAAATGAAATAAAATATAGGGTGTTCCAATGGAAAAAACATAGCATTGATGTGCTGTGACCTTACGGAACACCCTGTGTATTTCAAAGAAATTTTGAAATGTGAAGCTCGATTATTACTTCAATTTTGATACATGACTTATTTCTGTATCTCTCATGACAACAGAGAAATCGAACTCTGGAGTCTTAGTTGGCCACCCTGTACTATATGGCAGTAGGTGAAGTATAGTACGTAATGCGTGTTGTAAAGCAATTATGCACTCATGGAATCACTTTTCCATTCGTGCGTAATATGCATCTTACAACACATTTTACGTTATAAACTATTAAGTCACATTTGAGGGTTGATATAATTCATATAAGGTAGGCAAAAATAATAGTTACGTATCAAGGCATATTTATTCACTAATATCAGTGGACTATCATTCTATAACTCATATGTATCAATAAATCCGTCATTACGACAAATGCCCATATTTCTGAATTTTCTTCAGTTTTATGTACTCAGGTACGCTACAAATTCCGCGCTATATAATGACCAAACGATGCAAAAACAAATAAATATTGTTTTTTTCTTTTGTGAATAGGTACGTATATTTCATTCGTATTGAAAAACTTTCCCTATTTTCCTTCAACTTGAAGCCATAAATATCTCTTCGGTTCTTATTTCCGAAGATGAGACTATATCACAGAATACTCAACAATCAGAATAGCATCTCTCGGCGCGGGAGTGGGTTCGCGCATTCGAACGGCGCAGGTTGTCGGCCATCTTCCTGGGTTACTTGTTTACATGTTTATCGATTTCTGTGTTGTGTTATGATCGTGTGACATATTCAGATATTCAAGTGCATATTTTATTTTTTCTCTGTTGTGTTATTGTTTGGGTTGTACTGTTTGAATAAGTTTTGGTGCCTACCTAATTTGGTTGTGGATAAGAAGCCAATTATAGATTCTTTATTAGCTTGATCTGTAATTGTAGACATACTTTCTTACTTACTTACTATGTTGTTCTAGATTTCGGGAAAAATAAGTGGTACCTCAAATCCCTAGGGATTTAAAATGTACTTTGAATTCCTAGGGATTTAAAGTACCACTTTTTTCCTTGAAAATAGGGATTAAAAGTATCATCTATTTTCCATTTTCCTGAAGTGCATAAAAAGCATTAGAAGTAGAAAATTGTATAATTGTAAGATTCAACCTAATCTGATTTTATATGCAGTAATATATATGAATGAAAATTCCGAATGATCAATAGTATAGCAATGAAGTTTTATTGTTTCAAATTTGTTTTATCCATCATTGGAGAGTCAGTTGAATGGATATACCCTGTATACCTACCTATATTGACCAAGCAGAACTACAATTGTGAAAAAAAAATGTTTTTTAAAAAACAACTTGAAAAACTAATCTGAGTCAAATCAATCATTTTAAATTTTCAGCAATGTTCGTGTTTAAACCTGTCCTACTGAAAATAAATTTGCTTTTGTGAACTATTTTTCATTGAATTAAGTGTAAGTGTAATTTTGTAAGAATACATTTTGGTATCAATAAGTTCAGTTAGTACATTCCTGTCTTTTTCCTTAGAACGGCCCTGCTTGCTAACCCAACAACATGGCGGATCACAGAAAACGGGTCCTGAAATATCAAAGGCGCCGACCAGAGAAGCGCTTCTGATTGTTGAGTATTCTGTGACTATATATCATTTGTGTGATGATAGAGAAGTTTTCCGAGGACATTAATGTAGATGCGAATGTCGCCCCGAGGAATTTTCCTTGCTTTTCCGGCAGATTTCCTTCGGCGGAGTGAAAATTGTATTCCGATTCGGCAGGGGAAAATAACGAAATACTTCAGAACACGGATGTCGTTCGGTTATTTCTTTTATCTCTTGGAGCGCACGAACAGAAATTCCTATGACGAGAAAACAAAGAGAAAAAGTGTTTATTTTCGACCTCTACGACGAATTACATTTTTGTACTAACGAAAAATCGAATAATATTGAAGCCAAGTACTCCTCAGCCGCAGACACTAGGCTGCCAAAGAAAACCGGACTTTTGTTTTCGAATGATAACTTTTTCGTTTATCTGACGATTTCATATTGGTTTTGTTCTCGTCCGAGAGGAGACAGACCTTTTCCATCATATTCCTCATATTTCGCTGATGGAACTTTTTCGAAGTTGCACTGTATTATTCCACGTATGAAATTCTGAAAGCTTAAACTTCTCATAACAGTGAACACCGTGTTCTATCAATAACGAATGAACAGGAATATTATGTTTTAAGTCTCATGCACAGTTTTCATTTCGAATTTGATTCTTCCAGCTATGCCAGGCATATAATGGTATAACATTATTTATTATTGATTGTTAGTTTTCTTGGTGTAGGTGAACTTGGTTTTCTGTTTCGGGCCAGGAGCTATTTCACTTCCAGTCAGCTGCTTATGATCTATAAGGCACAGATCCGACCTGTCCTGGAATACTGTTTCCATATTTGGAGTGCAGCATCCAAACATACCCTTTTCTTGAACACTGTTGAAAAGTTGGATATTTTCATAGACGATGCTCTTCTGAAATATCAACAATCGTTCTTCCCTTGGCAGTCCCCGCGAGATTAATCCGTCGAGTTGAGGCTTTGCACCCCTTCGTGGTCACTTTGGAGACCTGCAGAACGTCTATAATAATAATAATAATAATGTGTCTTTATTTTCCATTCATGAACAAAATGCATAGGAGTATTATAAGGAGAAGGCGGCATTCAACAAGGTTGCTCTTCCATACAATCCCCCTTCCATAGAACCCCAACATCTCTTTCCAAAGACTCGTTCATCCAACGAACAGCGAGGCTCTGGAACACATTGCCAAGGAAGGTGTTCCCCGAGGCATATAACCTTCAGAAATTCAAGAAGAACACCAATTCCTACCTTATTTTCCTTGGTTCACACGATGTTCTCTGAACATTACAGGATATCGCTCGTGAGAACCAGAACATTGAAAAAAATCTACTTCCTCTTCAATTCACTAGATCACCAGTTGACGTTCTTTTTATCTCTCGAAGCGCACCAAAGATAAGTCCTATTTTGTTCGAAGAGCATCGTGCTTACCTATGGAGGATATGGAGGGATATCTTC